AGGCCTCTTAAGAGTAACCCTGGAAGCCAGAAGGCCAATGGGTAATGCTTTCAGAATTTTAAAGGAAAATTATTTCCAAACTACAATTTTGTACCAGACCAAATCACCTATTCAGATGACAGTAGAAAAAATGATATTTTGTACATGAGAGGTCTCAAAAAAAAAATTTAGCTTCCACTCACTTTTCTCAGGAAGCTGCTGGAGAATGTGCTCCATCAAAACAAAGGAGTAAGCTAAGAAGGATGCAAAAAATGTAAGGAGAACAAAGGACAGCTGCAGCTGCGAAGGGCTAATGGTGGAGGGGATCCCAGGATGCTCTCAGAGCCTTCTAGTTTACCTTGGGTCGGAGCAGGGCAGAAGGCTTCAGGAAAGACTTCCTGAGAGGAGATAATTCAAGATAAATACAGAGAAAACTAAGGCAGTAAGCAAGTAAAGGGTAATTATTAACTCCGTGGAAAACAAAAATCATTCAAGAAAGTAATCTTAGGTTACTACACAGCTCAATTGCAAACTGTGATTGCATAGTGTCTGCTCTGGGACAGAACCATTTTGTATGACGGGATTCACAGTCTCTAGGAAGAAACCTCCAGCATCTTGATGAAAATCTTGTACTTGAAAAAGAGAAAACCCAAAGAACTGTGACGTGATTAAGACCTTCTGGAACACCAGGTTCTCACACAGCTGAGCGATTTCTTTAACCAAATACTCTTTTGTTTTTGTGTTGTTAGGGAATTAAAAATCTACACAAAACATCAAAAAGAAAGAAAGCAGTTTTATTATTGAATGAGCATAAACTGGAGCATGGACATGGTTGATCATTTGCAAAGAGAATATAAAGATAGAAAGAAATTCTATCCTATTTAAGCAGCCAAGAAGTTATAATCCTTTTTCGCTGCTCTACTTTTAGCCATTATGTACATACAAGAAAACTTAACAGCACCATTTGCTGTATATTCTTCAGTAGTTTACCCTAAATTCACCTTTATCAAAAGAAGTAATAAAAATCTTATTTCTATGACAAGCAGATGCCTAGAGGCTAAACTATCACAGTGACAGGAGCATAGATAAGCCATCTTCCTAGATGTTTACATTTCAAAGAGATGGCTCTCAGACCTCTTAAAAAAAATTTCAGAGTTATAAAGGTGATGATAAAAGGCTAACTCAGGAAGAGGTTTATTTTTTTTTATTTTTT